CAACAAACAAAAACCCAGGACCAGATGGCTTCACAGGAAAATTCTATCAAACATTTAGAGAAGAGCTAACACCTATCTTTCTCAAACTCTTCCAAAATATAGGAGAGGGAGGAACACTCCCATACACATTCTACGAGGCCACAATCACCCTGATACCAAAACCAGACAAAGATGTCACAAAGAAAGAAAATTACAGGCTAATATCACTGATGAACATAGATACAAAAATCCTCAACAAAATACTAGCTAACAGAATGTAACAGCACATTAAAAGGATCATACACCATGATCAAGTGGGGTTTATTCCAGGAATGCAAGCATTCTTCAATATATGCAAATCAATCAATGTGACACGCCATATTAACAAACTGAAGGTGAAAAACCATATGATCATCTCAATAGATGCAGAGAAAGCTTTTGACAAAATTCAACACCCATTTATGAAAAAAACCCTCCAGAATGTAGGCATAGAGGGAAACTTCTTCAACATAATAAAGGCCATATATGACAAATCCACAGCCAACATCGTCCTCAATGGTGAAAAACTGAAAGCATTTCCACTAAGATCAGGAACAAGATAAGGTTGCCCACTCTCACCACTATTATTCAATATATGTTCGAAAGTTTTAGCCACAGCAATCAGAGAAGAAAAAAAATAAAACGAATCCAAACCATAAAAGAAGAAGTAAAGCTGTCACTGTTTGCAAATGACATGATACTATATAGAGAATCCTAAAGATGCTACGAGAAAACTACTAGAGCCAATCAATGAATTTGGTAAAGTAGCAGGATACAAACCTAATGCAAAGAAATCTCTTACATTCCTATACACTAATGATGAAAAATCTGAAAGAGAAATTAAGGAGACACTCCCATTTACCACTGCAACAAAAAGAGTAAAATACCTAGGAATAAACCTACCTAAGGAGACAAAAGACCTGTATGCAGAAAACTATAAGACACTGATGAAAGAAATTAAAGGTGATACAAACAGCAGGAGAGATATACCATGCTCTTGGATTGGAAGAACCAACATTGTGAAAATGACTCTACTACCCAGAGCAAACAACAGATTCAATGCAGCCCTATCAAACTACCACTGGCATTTTTCACAGAACTAGAACAGAAAATTTCACAATTTGCATGGAAACACAAAAGACCCTGAATAGCCAAATAAATCTTGAGAAAGAAAAACGGAGCTGGAGGAATCAGTTTCCCTGACTTCAGACTATACTACAAAGCTATAGTAATCAAGACAGTATGGTACTGGCACAAAAACAGAAATATAGATCAATGGAACAGAATAGAAAGCCCAGAGATAAACCCACGCACATATGGTCACCTTATCTTTGATAAAGGAGGCAAGAATATACAGTGGAGAAAAGACAGCCTCTTCAATAAGTGGTGCTGGGAAAATGGACAGCTACACATAAAAGAATAAAATTAGAACACTCACTAACACCATACACAAAAATAAGCTCAAAATGGATTAAAGACCTAAATGTAAGGCCAGACACTATCAAACTCTTAAAGGAAAACATAGGCAGAACACTCTATGACATAAATCACAGCAAGATTCTTTATGATTCACCTCCTAGAGAAATGGAAATAAAAACAAAAATGAACAAATGGGACCTAATGAAACTTAAGAGCTTTTGCACAGCAAAGGAAACCATAAACAAGATGAAAAGACTACCCACAGAATGGGAAAAAATATTTGCAAATGAAGCAACTGACAAAGGATTAATCTCCAAAACTGACAAGAAGCTCATGCTGCTCAATATCAGAAAAAAAAAACAATCCAATCCAAAAATGGGCAGAAGACCTAAACAGACATTTCTCCAAAGAAGATATACAGATTGCCAACAAACACATGAAAGGATGCTCAACATCATTAATCATTAGAGAAATGCAAATAAAAACTACAGTGAGATATCATCTCACACCAGTCGGAATGGCCATCTTCAAAAACTCTACAAACAATAAACCCTGGAGAGGGTGTGGAGAAAAGGGAAACTTCTTGCACTGTTGCTGGGAATGTAAATTGATACAGCTACTATGGAGAACAGTATGTATGTTCCTTATAAAACTAAAAATAGAACTACCATACGACCCAGCAATCCCACTACTGGGCATATACCCTGAGAAAACCATAATTCAAAAAGAGTCATGTACCACAATGTTCATTGCAGCTCTATTTACAATAGCCAGGCCATGGAAGCAACCTAAGTGTCCATCAACAGATGACTGGATAAAGAAGATGTGGCAGATATATATAATGGAATATTACTCAGCCATAAAAAGAAACAAAATTGAGTTATTTGTAGTGAGGTGGATGGACCTAGAGTCTGTCATACAGAGTAAAGTAAGTCAGAAAGAGAAAAACAAATACCATATGCTAACACATATATATGGAATCTAAAAAAAAAAAAGGTCATGAAAAACCTAGGGGCAAGACGGGAATAAAGACACAGACCTACTAGAGAATGGACTTGAGGATATGGGGAGGAGTAAGGGTAAGCTAGGACAAAGTGAGAGAGTGGCATGGACATATATACACTACCAAACGTAAAATAGATAGCTAGTGGGAAGCAGCCGCATAGCACAGGGAGATCAGCTCAGTGCTTTGTGACCACCTAGTTGGGTGGGATAGGGAGGGTGGGAGGGAGGGAGACACAAGAGGGAAGAGATTTGGGGACATGTATATTTATAATTGATTCATTTTGTTATAAAGCAGAAACTAACACACCATTGTAAAGCAATTATACTCCAATAAAGATTTTAAAAAATAAAGAAGTGAAGGAAACAATAGCAAAGATCAATAAAACTTAAAGCTGGTTCTTTTAGAAGATAAACAAAATTGATAAACCATTAGCCAGACTCATCAGGAAAAAAAGGGAGATGACTGAAATCAATAGAATTAGAAATGAAAAAGGAGAAGTAACAACTGACACTGCAGAAATACAAAGGATCATGAGAGATTACTCCAAGCAACTATATGCCAATAAAATGGACAACCTGGAAGAAATGGACACATTCTTAGAAAAGCACATCCTTCCGACACTGAACCAGGAAGGAATAGAAAATATAAACAGACCAATCACAAGCACTGAAACTGTGGCTAAAAATCTTCCAACAAACAAAAGCCCAGGACCAGATGGCTTCACAGGCTAATTCTATCAAACATTTAGAGAAGTGCTAACATCTATCCTTCTCAAACTCTTGCAAAATATAGCAGAGGGAGGAACACTCCCAAACTCATTCTATGAGTCCACCATCACCCTGATACCAAAACCAGACAAGATGTCAAAAAGAAAGAAAACTATAGACCAATATCACTGATGAACTTAGATGCAAAAATCCTGAACAAAATACCAGCAAACAGAATCTAGCCGCACATTAAAAGGATCATACACCATGATCAAGTAGGGTTTATCCCAGGAATGCAAGGATTCTTCAATATATGCAAATAAATCAATGTGATACACCATATTAACAAACTGAAGGATAAAATCCATATGATAATAGATGCAGAAAAAGCTTTTGAGAAAATTCCACACCCATTTTTTATAAAAACCCTCCAGAAATAGGTGTGCAGGGAACTTACCTCAACATAATCAAGGCCATATATGACAAAAGCACAGCCAACATCGTTCTCAATACTGAAAAACTGAAAACATCTTTTCGTGGTGTCCTTGTCTGACTTTGGTATAAGGGTAATGCAAGCCTTGAGTTTGAGAATGTTTCATCCTCTTCCATTTTGGGGAAGAGTTTGAGAAGGACTTGCATTAATTCTTTTTTAAATGTTTGGTAGAATTCACCCGGGAAACTACATGGTCCTGGGCTTTTCTTTATGAGATTTTTGTTTACGGATTCAACCTCCTTACTTTGGTGATGTCATGTTTCCTTTGTTGGTGTCAAATTTCCTTGATTTTTCTTGTTCCTTGAAGTCTTGCATTGCACCCTTTGCATTTAAAGTCGTAGTCAACTCCTTCAGTCTTTACTAACTTAAGGAGAGAAATACATTCCTTCAGTCCTGCTAGGGATTCTAAGGCTTTCACAGACCTTTTATGGATATGACTGCTTCTCACTTCTTACTCCTGCTTGTGGCAGAATTCATAAATTTGTATACTTCTCTCAATCTTGCAATGCACCAGACTGGGTGTTGACAGCCTCCCTTTTGCTTTCCCAAGGGCAGAGCTAAAGCTAAAGAGGCCAAATTTGTGGCCTCTCCATGGCTCTCACATTCAGGTTAGCCTTCTGTGCATGCTCACAAGCCATCTACCAGAGATTGCTCTTGCTGCCTTTGAGAACACAGAGTGGGCCACAGGGTGGAGGTTTGTGGGGGTGAGGCAATCAGGGTTCTGGGGGTGCCAGTGGGACAGTTGTAGGGATCCACATGTGAGATGTCCCAAGTGGCTTGTGGGCTGGCTTCTTGATAGAGTCTGTGAAGCAGTTAGTAGGATCTATGTCCCATTAGTGCCCTCCAAGAGTCCTATATGTCACTCTCTCAGCCTCTTCCCACTCCCAGTCATGCAGCTGATGACTCGGTACTCTGAATGGGATGAGAGAGAAATGGGCCTCTTGGCCGTGTCCCACACAGCTGGGAAAGCCAGGCACTCCTTAACACACTTTCACTCCTCCCCCCATCCCTGCAGGAGAATTCACTGGCCAAGAAAGTGTCTCTTGGAACTGAGGGGTATTGCTTGGGGGAGGGGTGGTGCAGGTAAAGTCAAAATGTTACTCCTTCCCTCTCCAACGCATCCAAACTCAAATATATATATTATATATATGTTTGTTTCCTCCAACAGCATGCTGGACCTTCTCTGCTGGAAACCTAGAATTCCATAAAGGCTTTCTTGTCCATGGGTGATTGTCTCATCCGTAGGTGATTGACAGTGTTCTTCAGGGGCTCCCAGACCATGGCTGAGAGGGACTGGGACCAGCACATGGGCCACTGCAGGGTCCGCAGCCAGGACTGAGATCTGTATGTGTATTACCTGAGGCACGAGTGGGTGAGACTCCTTCCGGGTCCTGTGGCATATGGTGTTGGATCCCACAGCTTTCACAAAGGCACTTTTGTTTGTAGATGGATGCTAAATTGTTACTGTTGAACGGGGCATATGTTCGAGGAATGTCGTATTTGGCCATGTTGCTAACATCACTTCTGGCAATGAGTCCTTAAACACCAAAAGCATGATCTATGAAAGAAAAACCTCTTAAGTAGGACTTTATTAAAATTAAAAACCTCTGCTCCCTGAAAAATATTTTTTTAAGATAATGAAAAACCAAGCCAGAGACTGGGAATAAATCTCTGCAAAATACATATATAATAAAGGACTGATATCCAAAATATACAAGGAATTCTTAAAACTAAACAACAGGAAAACAAATACCCATTTAAAAAAATGGGCAAAAAGTCTGATTAGACACCCATTTCATCTTAATGGCTCTAAAGTGGATTTTAGGAACTGAGGACAGAGACCAAATATTATAACAAAAGATGCTCCAATTGCCTTATCACTCAGGAAATTCCAAGGGTTTTGGGAGCTGTGAGCCAGGCACCGTGAATGGAGACCAAATATATACGATAAATATATTTTGATCATCTTTTTTTTTTTTTTGCGGTACGCAGGCCTCTCACTGTTGCAGCCTCTCCCGTTGCGGAGCACAGGCTCCGGATGCGCAGGCTCAGCGGCCATGGCTCACGGGCCCAGCTGCTCCGCGGCATGTGGGATCCTCCCGGACCGAGGCATGAACCTGTGTCCCCTGCATCGGCAGGCGGACTCTCATCAACTGCGCCACCAGGGAAGCCCTATTTTGATCATCTTAATGACAAAATATATTTCTTATAAATCACAATATTGCAGTCCACCTCTTGGTCTTTGAACACAGATCCCTTATAGCAAAACAATAAAAAATGTCAAAAGATATGGCACATTACTAGAATCTCATTCAATCACTAATAATTATTGAGTCCATTATGAAATCTTATGAAAATGTCTCCCAGGGCAAGGCCACTCAGGTTTGCAGGCTTCTATTCAATCTTGTCAGTTTCCAAAAGCAGGAGTGATCCCAGCAATATATGGCTTCACCCTTTCAGTGATCTAGTATAATTTAGCCGAGAGGCAATATCATCTTTTGCTCTGGGCCTCTTTTGAGATGTTGATGTAATACTGGATTTCTCTCATTACATAACCCATTTATTCATTTTCTAACCCACAGCTACTATTTTTCATTCTCTCCACTTACACCCAAACTTTTCCATCTTTGGAAAGGACATTAGGTTCAGTCACTGTACTGGTCTAGATGGCAGGCAGCAATACTAGTCTAGCAAGTCCCACCCCCTCAGCTCACTTCTAGTCAGATAAGGTAAGGTAACACAGGTGCAGAAGTTACACAGGTGAGCTATCTTTATCACCAGGCAATATAGCTGCATTCACTGTTAATCCTAATTTTCCCAGATTGGGTGAAGGCATATCCTGCCCCAACAGGCCCTTAGGAATTCTGACATAAAAGTAAATAGTTTCTTGCTTAGGAATCATCCCTGTTTCATGCCCTTGTAGTTGCAGCCCTGGTCCTGTGACCATTGTATCAAGTGGTGGGGAAAAGAAAAAGTTGAGGTGATACGGAGAAGACAGAATACCAACATTTTCCCCACCCCCTCTTCCCCTGATCCACCAGAAAAACAGAAATCTATCCTGTGGGGATACTCTTTTAGCCCCACTCATGTTCAGCTTGACTGTGAGCACATACTCGTGAAGGCATGTAGGCCAGCCCTTCATGCCTTTATTCCCCACCACCCACCATTTTAGACAGCCAATATTTTAACTGCCCATTCCAATTCTCTATCAAACTATGACTCTAAAGAGGTTATTTTTCTGACCACTGCTGGACATCATGTGACGTAAAGTGTGTTTGTTCCTTGGTCTAAAGAAATGATTCTCAACCGTCCAAATTTGTGCAATATCTTTTGTTATAGTACTTTTGAGCATTTGCATCTACCACTGGGTAGGCAAAGCCCAGTGCAGAGTCAATGTCTTTTCCTATATTCCTGTCAGGACTCATTTGTAGCCTCCCAGGGCTACAAGCATTAGTCTGACTTGTCAGCTCTAATCAGGGCCTCCCCAAAACCCCCAAGGAATCTGCCACATAGCCATCTGCAATCTGTCTCTTTTGCTGGCATACAGAACAGTTCTTACTGGCATTGCCTCAGAGGGTGCAAGAGAAATATGTCTAGATTTGGTCCATCTTTGCACTGCTGCAACTAACTCCCCCAAGTCCACTCATTTCATGGACCCAGGTGGCCACATCAAGGAAGCATACCAAAATGTCCACTTAGTGGTTCCAATCACCTTCTGAACCTTGGAAGGGGGTTCTTCTGATGGGCATCAACATGTCCTACTTTAATGTACCCCTTAAATTCCCAGTGATTTCCATGAGGCTGTGCCCTATTAAGGCCATCCCTTTAACAGTCCAGTTTTCCATTGCCTAACTACCTGACCATATGGCCAGGCCATGGGCTACTGTCCATGTGTAGGTAAAAACCCAAACATAAGGGCTTTTGCCATTGCTCAATTCTTCCACCACTGCTAGGAAAACAGCATGGAATTCAGCACACCAGGGTGATCTGTTTTTACCTTCTTCAATCAGAGTGGTGACTTTCCAAACATTTCCAAGATATTGTCTGTTCACCATGGAACTGCCATCCACAAGCCAAGCAGCTCTTTGTTGGTCAGTTAAGGGCTCTTTATAGGGCACTGTCCAAGTTACAACAGAATCCAGTAGCTCCTCACACAGTTCCAGAGTCAGTCCTTGGTGAAAAGAGGCTCCCTGCTCTCAGGAGTATCTCCCCCTTGCATCTCCCAGGCAGCATGTTCCTTTATAAACCATTTCCATTTTATTATGGAACTCTTCTGGGCACTGCCATCCCCATAATCCTAGATATTATGGCTATTTCAAGTTTCAAGATCACTTTATGTCCTTCAGTCACAGTCTTAAGGGTAGCTTCAATTAATCACTGATTGCAAGGTAGTAAATGCCCCTCAAATGGAAATTCTCCAGTCCAAAGTGCCAGTAGTTGTCGAGGTGCTCACAGCTCTTGCCATATGCCCCAGTCTATTCCATGCCTCACATAGGGCTATCACACAGCCTACCAGCACCTCAGCCTCTACTCCACGCTGTTTTGGCTCGGGCAATCTTACTGGTTCCCATTTAGCACGTCCAATTAAAACTGCTTGAAGGGTAGATTTACATGCCTTCTATTTATAATACTAGGTATGGGAAACATTCACCAGTCAGTTATAATGTCCATCCCCACAATACAATCAGGTAAAAAAAGAAAAAAAAAGATGCAACCACTTCACATAAAACCTGTTTAAATATGCCAATTCTCCTACAAACTTTTACCTTAATTTCATCAACCCTTACATTCCTAACGGTAGCCTCCACTAGGACTTCATCAACAGGTTTTGGTTTTACAATACTAGGTAAGGGAGGTGTTCCCCAGCCAGACATGGTTTCCATTCCCAGAAAACATTCAGGTAACATTCCAACTTTCATAATTTAATTAACCGTTACACTTTTATGTTCTCTCAGTTGAACTGTAGCCCGAGTCAAGGTTTCACCAATGGATTTTGGTACCACAGTTCACAGGATTCCTGTATCAAGGAGTCCTGGAAACTTTTCTTCACCCCGACTATTTTACCCAAGCTTGTGCAAAAGGTTTTGGATCCTTAGGAAGGGGTAGAGCCAAAGGACTCTATAAGTCATATAAAGTCTTATGTATAAGACTTATATAAAGTCTTATATATCTTAAATCTTATATAAATATAAGATTTGTCAATCTTATATTAATTGTCTTACCCCTTGCCCTAAGTGATTGGTCAGATCTCTCATTGTAATTTCTGCTTTCTGGCTTTCAAAATTTCTCCAAATTGTGGTAAACAGAGCTGACTTCTTTGGGGCCCTTTAATGTTGGGGGGCCAGCAAGTCCTTTAGTACTGCTGTATTAAAATCTCTGTTTTAAGCCCACCAAGATCTGTTTTATTCACTCTGCTTCTTAATTATCATCTAAAGATTTCCACCCTGCTGGGATGAGTCCCATGACTCTCCTTTTTCTTTCTTCTTTGTTCCACTCCTATCAACATTTGCTTTATTCACCTTATTCCTTAACAACTGTTTAAAATTTCCTACCCTGCTAAAACTATTCTCTTGATTCTCTCCTCTGCTGTCTCCATTCTCTTGTTAATAACCTAATATTTTTATTAGCATCTATAAGACCATGAGGGGAAGCTGAGACAGCAAATTCCATAAGGCTTCTTGAACTATCCCTCGGTTTTGCAGCAGTAAGGTTACAATGGGGTATCCATGTAAAAGAAGCCCTTTAACCACAGCATCTACCATGACCTGGATAACAAGTATATTCATTGGGTGAATATCCTGGTCATCATAAAGCCAGTCCCGCATGGCTTGCGTACAAAGCATATCAGCTGCTTCATCTGGGGTGTTCCGCTTGGCATTCATAGAGGAAGATGGACAGCCCCCTTCTCAGGGTAAACAGACCTTACAGTGGTCTTTATACCATCCACCAGGCTAGTTGTTCCTTCAGAAATAACCTCCTGTGTGTCTGGATCACACATAGCCATCTGTGATTGTTCTATAGTCATCTGTGCAACCTGTACCAACCCAAACATGCTCTTTCATTCTGCAGCACTCAAAACCAAAGATACAGCTCCTAAATTAGTCACTCACAACTTATTTCAGTAAAGGTTCCTCAGTAAACTGATGATATCAATCTACCAAATAAAACAACTCTTTCACACTATATCCTCTGGTTTCAATAGTTTCTTGGTTTTTCCCTCACCCTACAATGACTACCTTCTTGGTGACCAGAGGTTTTAGAGGTACTTTCTGTTGGCCCTGCATAATTTTTACCTTGGAGTGGGGGCAGCTGTGAGGCTAGTGGCTGAAGCTCAGACTCACTGAAATCTGAGCTTGGTCTAGCATCAGGGTCTGATCCAGAACTCTTTTACTTTTAGTTTAGCTATTAACAGATAACAATTACCAAGGGATTGTATATTTTACCTCTTTCTTATTAGTCTGCATTTCCTTATTCATCCAGTGAGACAACTCCCCAGGAGTTGGAGTTGATGAAATAAAATTCATATTTAATGGCAAGACAAGAAAAATTTAAACATAA